AGAGATACTTGTATTCAACTTCATAACTTTGCTTACAACTTATACCTGAAAGCTGCACAGAACATAGCTTTCTCAGTTATATTAATGTGTTATATATCATGTATAGGAAGTAATAATACTGAGGTTTCCATTTGTTATTAATTTCAGTAGTATAATGAAACTCGAGAATCTGATACACTCTCTTGTTAACAAGATTAAGATTGCATTTAATAATATATGAAAAGCAACATAATAATTGCAGAACTCTTACAAACCTTTTTTTTTATTTGTTTCACTCTGGTCCATCACAGTAACAATTACAAAGACAAAAAATAACTCCGTCCAGCAAGCCACAAACAAACACGGACGATACTAAGAATCTCCTTCACAAGATAGACAGGTGGCACAAGTTCAGCCCCCTCCAAGAGAGACAATAGGAGAAGTGACACGAACCTGCACGGTTTATAAAATTTTGACTTAAACAAAGTTTGTAAAAACTTTGAAAAGTTTTAATACCAGGAAGGCTGCTGTGATTGTGAAAAGTTGAATANTGTGTGTGTGTGTGTATGTAATTTAGCACTCAGAACATCTACTGTGATAGTGGTTTCCGAATAAGTATTGATGTTCCCCCTGAAGATGATCCATAAGGATCGAAACATGTAATGGTGCTGAATTTTCAAGTGGTAAAACTTAAATAGTCACACTGCACGGAGTTGTTTTTGTCTTTGTCTTACAAACCTCATGATCTCAAACATGCTCATGTTTCCAAAATAATAAATTAACTGAACAAATATAATGAATGTTGTATTTTAGTGTCCTGTTGCACTGATTCGTATCCATAATGAGTATATACGAGTATTAACTATCTTTTACATACACATACGCCCAGGAATACAACGCACTCAGCCACATAAGAAAGACACATCATATACACCGTATATACACAATTAAAACATAAGAAGAACGACTTCCATAGAGGATGAATGGCATTACACATGAGTTTGATATACGACATGTAAGATGATAGATCTTAACAAGTTTTAATACATAAATTTTATTATTGAACAACGACGAACACACATTTCATATCATTTTATAAATGGACACTTGATGGCAGGCAGTGCAATAGTTTAACGTGATTAATACACCTGAGGATGGCAGAATGATGTCGAAACATGTAGTGTGAAGTGACAAGTTGCACTAAAAGACCGTTAATATATACACATTATAAATATAATGAACCTTGAAAGTCTGATATATATATGTCCAAAAAGTATCCGACTTAATTTTTTTCTGCTGTAAGTAATGGCCAAAGGGGTGGGGAAACTGAGCGTAGTAGTAGAAGGGACTTTCATGCGCATGTGTGATTTTTTGCTGACTCGCAACACTGCCGGATGCTTCTGTGGCTGCCAGATAGCAAAGTTGTGTAACACGTGTTCGTCGCAGTCTCATTTCACTCAAGATGACAGAACGCTTGGAGCAGCAATAATGCAATAAGTTTTGTCAGAAACTTGGGGATACCCAAGCGGAAACAATTTGCAAAATTCAGCAGGCTTTCGGCGATGATGCAATGGGGTCACTCAAATTAAAGAGTGGTTCAGCCGCTTTAAACGTGGCTGTATGTTGGCGGACAGTGAGCAGCGTTCTGGGAGACCGTCAATGCTGATGTGCGCCATACCCTTCGTCTTCTTTTCCTTCTGATTATTATTATGTTGTTATTATTATTACGAAGAGGAAGGGCACAGCGCAATCGTTACTGGCCCTATTGTTGGTTCCCACGCTCCTCTGGATGGACATGGGGTATCCAAGCTAGGAGAAGGAAGCTACACTCAGTTCGTTGGCTTAGATAAGAACAAATACAATTTTAATAAAAAATATATAACAATACATAAATAACAAACGACACATTTGACCAAGAAACTAATGCAAGCTCATTTTAGAACAAACAATTTCCCGTCGGCACTACTTGTGTCGACACTAGACATATTAGGACGTTAAACACTCAGGCTATACAAACACAAGTTTAATTCTGAGAAAATACCAAACCGAATCTAATAACGCGCATCGCAAGCGTTCAAGCAACGGCTTGCGACCGCGGGCAGTCCTTACCGGCCAACCAGATAGCACCAAAAGGGAATTTAGAACAGACCCAGCCGAAACCAATATTTTCCACAACAAACCTGCTGGCTAGTAACCGACCTTCCAAGTCAACTTGGTCTACACGACTGCACTGTACAAGTCTCCCCTTCACGAGAGGGTACATGGGACCACGTGACTGACGTCAGGATACTGCATAGTGGGGGATGGAATCCGTCAAGGGAAACATGATGACATCATACGTGAGCGAGCTACCTTAGAACCGCTAAGATGTCATTGAAAAAGTGTGGACATTGATCATGGAGGACCGTCGTTTGGCCATCCGTGAAGTTGCTGACGAGGTTGGGATCAGCAGAGATTCTGCAAACAAAATTTTAACTGAGGATTTGGTCATGTGAAGAGTGGCGGCAAAATTTGTACCCAAGCTGCTTTCGCCGGAGCAGCAACAACTCTGTCTTGAGGTCGCGCAGGACATGCTGGAGTGCGCCAACAGGGATCCTGAGTTCCTGAAGATTGTGATGACTGGTGACGAGTCGTGGGTGTACGGATATGACCCGGAATCCAAAGTCCAGACTTCACAATGGAAGCACCCAACATCCCCGAGGCCCAAAAGAACACGACAGGTTCGGATCAATGTGAAGGTGATACTGACTGCTTTTTTTCGATTACTGGGGTGTTTTGCATCATGAGTACGCACCACTAGGCCAGACTGTCAATAAGGAGTACTACCAAGAAGTCCTCCGCCATCTTCGTGATGTAGTTCGGCGCAAGAGACCGGAGCTGTTGGACGCACGCAACTGGCAGCTGCATCATGACAACGCCTCAGCTCATTCATCACACCTGATCCAGGGCTTCCTAGCCAAGCACAGCATTCTGCAGGTTTGCCAGGATCCGTACTCTCCTGTTATGGCTCCTTGTGAATTCTGGCTGTTCCCAAGTTTGAAGACACCACTAAAAGGCTGCCGTTTTGACAGCCGCAAAGACATCATACAGAATGCGACAGCGCAGCTGCACGCCATTCCAAAATTGCTTCCAGCAATGGAAGGACCGCTGGGCTAAGTGTGTGAGGTCACAAGGGGCCTACTTTGAAGGGGATTAGACATTAAACCACCCAGATACATAATTTTTTTTCCCCGGACCAAGGTTGGATACTTTTTGGACAGAGTAGTATATGTAAAAGTAAAGTAAGTAAAGTAGAGCTATCCCTGTAACAGGCCGTGAAAGCCCATAGGGTTGTGAGACGTTCATAAGTTCAATGCTGAACACAGTAATATTTACTTACTTACTCACTCATGGAGCTGAGCCCTTCTTGAGGAGCCGCCAATTCTGCAGCTACTGAAGAATTTCGCAGCATTTTATGGAATCCGAAGGTTCATCACCGTGTTCACAAGAGCATTTCACTGGTCCATATCCTGAGCCAGAGCTATCCAATCCATACCATCCCATCCTCTTCCTAAGATCCATTCTAATATTGTCCACCCACATACGCCTTGGTCTTCCCTGTGGTCTCTTTCCTTCTGGCTTTCCCACCAATATCCTATACGCATTCCTCGTCTCCCCTATTCGTGCACAATTACATATTTAAGATTTTCAAGGTTCATTATATTGCTTCAGTAATTTCATTATGTTGTGTTCAATAATACGGCCAAGATAATGAAATTACTGAAGCAATATAATGAACCTTGAAAATCTTAATTATGTAAATATTCACAAGTTCAATGTTGATTACAATAATATGGCCAGCATAATAAAATATCTAAAGCAATATAATGAACCTTGAAAATCTTGAATATGTAAATGTTCACAATAAAGTGGCCAACATAATAAAATAACTGAAGGAATATAATGAACCTTGAAAATCTTGAATATGTAAATGTTCACAATAAAGTGGCCAACATAATAAAATAACTGAAGGAATATAATGAACCTTGAAAATCTTGAATATGTAAATGTTCACAATAAAGTGGCCAACATAATAAAATAACTGAAGGAATATAATGAGCCTTAAAAATCTGCTGTTTATACATTTATGCTCATAAGATCAATGCTGAATACTGTGACATGTTGAGCTTTGGACCACCCCTACCTCTCCAGCGGTACGTGGCGGTAATGTAGCGCTCGCGTTACTATGGTAATAGGCGAGTCCCCGCTCTGCCACTCCCCTCCGCAGTGACGTCTCGAGCGGAGCCGAAGTGAGCCGAGTGGAGCCGAAGTTAGCCGAGTCCCCGCAACCTGGTAGCTATGCAACGCGAGTCAACAGCGGTGACGTCACCAAGGGATATCGCAGTTGCTAGGCAGCAGTCAACAACTCCGGACAGCGTTGTTAGGATATACGCAAACACAGTGACGCGTCACCGCTTCCTACTGTGACGTGGCAACAGGCACCACTGCGGCTATATAGGGGAACTGCACAGCAGCTACGAGTCAGTTATAATGTGGCCATCGCTCAGATCAGTAGTAGTCGAGCCAGTGTGTTATCAAGAGTTCTCAAGACAGCAGCCTGCGAGTCAGTTGTAGTGTAACAGTCACCGAGTCGAGTTGTAATGTGTCAGTCGCCGAGCAGAGTTGTAACGTAACCGTCGCCAAGTTAAGTTGTCATGTGGCTACCGCAGAGTTAAGTAGTAGACGAGCGAGTGTGTTATCAACAGTTCTCCAGTCAGCCGACTACAGTTGGAGTATAGCAGCCGTCGCGGAAAGAAGAACCGGACGTGTGTGTGATTGTGTAATTGGGAGTGTGTGATACAGTGATACATAGCTCCCCTGCTGTAAACATGTAGACTACTGAAGACAGAGTGAACTGATTTGCGCATAGGGTTATAAATCGTGAAACCCCGCGACAGTGGTAACAGATTAATGCGATTAGGGTTATAAAGTGTGAAACCCCGCAACTGTGTGATAAGTAATTGTAGCCGTTACTTGTAGATTGTTCAGTAAACCAATTAACGATCTCTACGGCTTATTCAGTAACGAAACACGTTACAATACAATAATATGGCCAAAATGATGCAATGATTGAAGGTATATACCCATAATAACAAATTAGATGAATAAAATATGTAAACAGTAACAAGTAAAACTTCCTACCTAGGAAGTAGTTAATTATGTACAAGGGGTGGGCCTTCTTGGCCCTTGCACCGCGACCACAGTGATCTATTGTGCCTAAGTAGTTGAAAAAATTAATTACAAAATATACAGTGAATCCTGACATTGATTCAGCTCCTCGATGTTTCACGCTGAACCAGGTAACCTGAAGATTGCAAGTCAATTATAAAGTAATGCCCCTTCATTCTTACCCACATATAAACAAGAGCCATTTGAGTCAGAAAAGAATTTCCCACACAATTCTTGATTGAAATCTAATTATTTTCAGATAGAGGGCAGAATGAACTCTGACCGTCTTCTGACAATGATGTTCTAATACACTGGGAAGAAGGAAACAAGTCTGCAAAGTAAGGAAGAGATGGAGCTCAATATCAGAATAGGTTTCTTGTACGTAATCCGACTGTAGGTGACAATGTTATCAACAAATTACTCAATACCAGAGGTTTGAGACAAGAGCATGTGAAGGCATGGTAGTTGGAGTTGCTGGTCACCAGGGTTACTTTTCCAACTTATGAAACATCTATTGATGCCCATGTGAGCAACTGGAATATATTATTCCAATAATTCAATAACTGCTGTCTGCTGATTTCCAGGGTTGGTATGAGCAGGTCATTATAAGGGAAAAATGAAGAAGCATTACTTTCCCAATGACTTACCGATGTGACAGTATCTTCATCTTCCTCTCTGTGGCCCTCTGCCTGGCTGCTTCAGTCATCAACCAGTTTGTTCGCTTACACCACCAAGGAATGTAAATTCGTGTGAGACATCTCACAATACTATCTACTATTCGTTGGTGGTGAAGCGAACAGCCAGAACACCTAATCCACTTGAAGTCAATGGTGCTCTTGATGGCACCTGTGATATGCTGCTCCACTGAATTGAAGTGGGCCACCTCTGACATCATAGACTCCATTAGAGTTACAGCAGTACCAACAGTCTCCACAAGCTTCTCAGAAGGATAGGTCAGAGGCTGTTCTGTATCACAGCACTCCTTAAAATATATGAAGACATTGGCTGATAGCAGCACTTCAGATGTCAGGCATGTCCTGCATGCATCACAGCTGATACCACGAAGCACCTGTCTGGCAATGGAACCACTGATGTAAGCTACTGAGAGCACTTCCATGTCACCAGCAGGTACTGCAGGATTCATGTCCATCTGTACTTGCTGAGTAACATGGAAACTCTCAGGCACACCAGCAGTGGTTTCCTTGCCATGACTTGTGGAAGGATTTCATGAAGCAGCTTCAGGTTCCCTGAGCAACGATTGTAGATTATCCAGAAGAGTAGCACCATCACCCTCACAATTAGTCTCTCTGAGACCTTTAAAAGCTAGGTCATTGATGATGCTAGTCTTCAGGGCATCTACAAACTGTCCCACAGTTGGGTTATTGTTTGAACCACAGTTCAAATGAATAGCTCCAAATGTGTTCTCCAGGGGGTCCTGATTCAGGTTTTGGGTGTGTAGGTACTCAAAACCCGCCTCTTTCAGTGTCCTTCACAGATGCTGGGCAGCAGTGATGTCAATCAGCCACCCATTCTGTGAAGGAAGAGGTTGAAGAAAGGCGGGTTTACCATCCTTGAGAAGGATCCAACTCTTTATCCCCATACTTGCCCTTTTCCAGAGCTCTATATGGGGACTGTTATCACTGAGCGGGCAACGCAGTGTTTTCCAAGGGTTAACACAGGTTCCACCATTGAAACTATTGAAGAGGTTGTCAACCTCCTCAACAAACACAGCTGTTGCCACGTTTTCACTGCAGCACCCTCCTGAAAGAACATTAAAAAGGAAGTTAGTGAGCTTCCTTACATAATGGACTACCATAGTTCTTCAGACTAGAAAATAACACACTTTGCTAAGGACTGCCATAAGAAAGAATTTGTGAATTTGATTATGTTATTCCTCACAGCAAAGACTTTTACACCTCCTTTTCTCATAAAACATATTACTGATAGTGTGTTCTGCTTCTTGGTTTGTTTAGGCTCTCTGATTGGTCGAGACCTGCGTGAAGTTTCTGCAGTCATTCATAGAGGCAGTAGCTACCGTGTTTCCCTTTCCCCTATTTCAGTTGCAACCAGCCCCGTGAATTATTATTTATTATTGTTATTATTGGAGGGGGGTGGGTTTTTCCCATGCACCGCGACTAGTGGTCTATTGTACGTCCCCCTGTGATATTCTACCAGTTTTTATACCCTACCGATACTGGTGCGTACCATCAGTCCCAACTCAGCCAGGGAGTTCGGCCTCTACTGGCTCAGCGGTATCTAGATGCTTCCCCCATCTACCAGAGGCGTTAAAGACTCCCATGTTATTGGTTGGCAACATGGCCGCCATGACACCTCGGTGCAATGCTCCTGCCATCTATGTTCCCCATACAGAAACTAAATTTAAAATGGCCTCCTGGGCCAAGAGCACAATCGGTAAGAAGGTATGCTACTTTACCAACTATTTTGAGTGCTCTCCCTTCTGCCCCGTCCAATGCTTTTTTTCGCTACTAGCATTNCCTATGCCTTGGTCTTCCCAGTAGTCTCTTTCCTTATGATTTTCCCATCAATATCCTATATGCATTCCTCGCCTCCCCCATTCGTGCTACATGCCCTGCCAACCTCATCCTCCTGGACTAGTGATATTCTGTGTTCAATATCACTAGTCGAGGAGGATGAGGTTGGCAGGGCATGTAGCACGAATGGGGGAGGCGAGGAATGCATATAGGATATTGATGGGAAAATCATAAGGAAAGAGACTACTGGGAAGACCAAGGCATAGGTGGGTGGACAATATTAAAATGTATCCTAGTGAAATAGGATGGTATGGCATGGATTGGTCTGATCGGTCTCAGGATAGGGACCAGTGGAGAACTCTTGTGAACACAGTAATGAACCATCGGGTTCTATAAAAGGCTGGAAAATTCTTGAGTGGCTGCACAATTGACAGCTTCTCAAGAAGGGCTCAACTCCATAAGGAAGTTCAATATCACTTCACCCATATCCTTTGGGTTGGATTTGAGTGAATTTCTATTAACTTGGCCCCCCATCCCCTATCCAAAAAAAATGGAATAAGAGCCTCTGCAGCTCTGGAGTACAAGAGATTAGGTTGCAAATTATTTATCTGGAGAAAGTTTCTCACCAGTGCCTGGAAAATCATAACCTTTCTTTCACATGAAACACCTCTCTAACCAAAGGCACTGAACATTGTGAACTGTGACAAACATGGAATAGTTGTATTTAGGAAAGCTGAAGGTGGGGAAACTTGAAAGAAAATTCTGTTTCCATCAGAGATACATACATTAAACCTCATAATTTTCTCATAACGTACACTTGACAGCCATACAGAACACAGTTTTTCGGTCACATTTAAGTATTATAAATCATATATTGTAAGAAACAATACTCATGTTCCCATTTATTATTTTCATCCAAATGATGGAATTTGGGAATGTGAAATACACATTTGTCAACAAGATCAAGACTGCATTTAAAGATATAAGAAAATGTGATATATTAATCTTCACAAGTTCAGTACTGGGCAGAATAATATGGCAAAAATAATAAGATATCTTAAATAAATGTAATGAATACTGACAATCTGGTATCCATTCATATTCCAGTTCAGTAATGGAAAGGTTTATATGGCAAAAGTAACATATTTCTTACAAAGAAATGTAATGAATACTGACAATCAGGTATCTATTCATATTCCAGTTCAGTAATGGAAAGGTTTATATGGCAAAAGTAATATATCTTATAAAGAAATATAATGAATACTGACAATCTGGTATCTATTCATATTCCAGGTCAGTAATGGAAAGACATAAACCTTTCCACTTCAGTATTGGATACATATAATAAAACAGGCAAAGAAATTAGATAAATAATCCTACCCACATTCAATCCTGATACTGATTCTGCTTCCTAGAGTTTCACACTGAGGCGGATAACTGAACTTTGCAAGTCAGCTATAAAGTAATGCTTCTTCATTCTTACCTACACATAAACAAGACCCATATGTGCCAGAAAACAATTTCCCATACAATTCTCGGTTGAAATATAATTTGCTGAAGATAAAGGCCAGAATGAACTCTGACCAAGTGAAGTTCTAATATTCTGAGATGAAGGAAACATGTTTGCAAAGAGGGGAATAGATAGAGCTCAAGTTCAAAATAAGTATTGTGTATGTAATTGAACTGTGGTTGACCATGTTATCATTCACTGCAACATTTTTGCAAAGTGGGAAAGAGATGGAGTTCAAGTTCAAAGTAGGTTTCTTGTGTGCAATTGAACTGTGGATGCCGATGTTATCATTCGCTGCACAGTAGTTTCTGTTGCTGCACTGCAACTGCTTGTCACCAGGGATACTTTCTCCAACTTATGAAACATTTAATGATGCTCATGTGACTAGTTGCCACACATATTCTTCCAGTAATTCCATAACTTCTGTCAATTTCCAGGGTTGGTATCGGCAGGACATTATAAGGGAAAAATGAAGAAGCATTACTTTCCTAATGACTTACTGATGAGACAGTATCTTCATCTTCCTCTCTGTGGCCCTCTGCCTGGCAGCTTCAGTCATCAACCTGTTTCTTTGCTTACAGTACCAAGGAATGTAAATTCGTGTGAGACATCTCACAATACTATCTACTATTCATTGGTGGTGAAGCGAACAGCCAGAACACCTAATCCACTTGAAGTCAACAGTGCTCATGATGGCAGCTGTGATATGCTGTTCCACTGAATTCAAGTGGGCAGCCTCTGTAATTACAGACTCCATCAGAGTTATAGCAGTACCAACAGTCTCCACAAGCTTCTCAGAAGGATAGGTCAGAGACTGTTCTGTATCACTGCACTCCTTGAAATTGTAACCATTCATTTTTGATTGGAGGACTGTTGTGCATTAATTAAATATGTATTAAGTTAAGATTACAAAATTACAAACAAAGAGATCCGGCAGATAGCCAGCTCTTACACGCGGAAGGGACATAGTTCAAGTTTTGCTATGTGGACAGGAAGTAACATCTGGTACTTTCCTGGAATTCTGGCAGTTTCAGCAAAGGCGGAAAGTCTTTGAGAATTTGAGAGCTGACAGCTTGGGACAGCGATAACTTAGAAGTGAGACGGCCGGAGCCTCACACCCTGATCGTAATGCATCAAGGGGCTGTCAACCTTAGCGTCAGGTCAGCATCTGCCAGAATCACATAGCAGAGCAATATGATTGGGAATTCAAAATTTAGGGAACCTTCTACATAGTTTGAAAATTAAACCAATGGCAGAAGTGGAGGAGTGGATTTCTCTTGGAGTCTGGGGTTCGTGGACCTCAGGATTCAGAGAGAGGGCATTCCACCTTGAGGGGTCTTGACACAACTTTCGGCAAAGTCGGACACAAAATTTACAACTACGGCCCTTCCGTAAAGTAGTATAAGTAAAGTTCAAATTAAGTGTATTAATAAATTCAGTTATATTCAGAAAGCTGGAAGGGATTAAAGGACTACTAAGTGCAACAGTCTAAAGAGGTGTGTAATTGTAGTGAAGGGTTCTTCCTGCCCTGTCCGAGCCAGACCCGTATAAGACCCAGGATAGGAACTCAGCTCTACAGATTACGGAACAGAACCCAAAGAAGTGAGCGGTGAGAAAATATATGAAGACATTGGCAGATAGCAGCACTTCAGATGTCAGGCATGTCTTGCATGCATCACAGCTGATACCACGAAGCACCTGTCTGGCAATGGAACCACTGATGTAAGCTACTGAAAACACTTCCATGTCACCAGCAGGTACTGCAGGATTCATGTCCATCTGTACTTGCTGAGTAACAGGGAAACTCTCAGGCACACCAGCAGTGGTTTCCTTGCCATGACTTGTGGAAGGATTTCATGAAGCAGCTTCAGGTTCCCTGAGCAACGATTGTAGATTATCCAGAAGAGTAGCACCATCACCCTACAATTAGTCTCTCCGAGACCTTTAAAAGCTAGGTCATTGATGATGCTAGTCTTCAGGGCATCTACAAACTGTCCCACAGTTGGGTTATTGTTTGAACCACAGTTCAAACAAATAGCTCCAAATGTGTTCTCCAGGGGGTCCTGATTCAGGTTTTGTGTGTGTAGGTACTCAGAACCCGCCTCTTTCAGTGTCCTTCACAGATGCTGGGCAGCAGTGATGTCAATCAGCCACCCATTCTGTGAAGGAGGAGGATGAAGAAAGGAGGGTTTACCATCCTTGAGAAAGATCCAACTCTTTATCCCAATACGTACCTTTTTCCAGACATCTATTTGGGGACTGTTGTCACTGAGTGGGCAACGCAGTGTTTTCTCTTGGACAACACTTGTTTGCTGCACAAAAATTTTTCGTACAGCATTCTAGCAAAATCAGTAGTACAGGATAACCAAACTCTTCCTGCTCATACCATAGCCCTGTAAGAGTATTACATATTGTCTCAAAACCTTGAAATAATTCATCAGTAAACATTACAAACATGGTGTAGGTGCTACATTACATCATGTACTAAAACAGACATTCATTTATTTATTTATTTACTTTCCATTAATCCTTACATGGCTGGAAGAAAAGTGGATATAGTAATAGTCGAAGACAACAGGACAAATCCCATGAATGATATAAATAAAAATTATTTATATTTAACCCATACCAATTACACATATTATCAAAGACAAATCCCATGAATGATATAAATAAAAATTATTTATATTTAACCCATAACAATTACACATATTATCAAAGACAAATCACAGTGAGCAAATCATTAACACAGTTTTANTATTTATTTACTTTCCATTAATCCTTACATGGCTGGAAGAAAAGTGGATATAGTAATAGTCGAAGACAACAGGACAAATCCCATGAATGATATAAATAAAAATTATTTATATTTAACCCATACCAATTACACATATTATCAAAGACAAATCCCATGAATGATATAAATAAAAATTATTTATATTTAACCCATACCAATTACACATATTATCAAAGACAAATCCCATGAATGATATAAATAAAAATTATTTATATTTAACCCATAACAATTACACATATTATCAAAGACAAATCACAGTGAGCAAATCATTAACACAGTTTTAAAATATATATGTGAAAGATTGCAGCACACTAATGACACAAGACTATAATAATGAAACATAAAAGTACACTACTAGGCATCCAGCATATAACAGATCAAGATCATTAATTAATATTGAGTTAAATTATTCCTCTAATGAGTAAAATAGACTTACCCTTTGGTACCTATCTTTCACATAGGATTTTATAAATGCATTGGCCTTACCAACTATTCCATAAAATTCTACTTTAGACAGAGAAATAGACAGACAGATATTGACACAGTCAAAGGTTTTCTTCAAATCACAGAAAATGCCGATGAACATTATTGGTATTGATGTTGTCCAGCTATTGTTCGAAAATAATTATTAAAAGAATCTGTAATAACATCATGATTATCAGTTAACTTCCCATCAATGTTTAAAAACTGTATACCTGCATTATTAATTGTTCTACCTGTGTCTGATTTTATAATGTCCAAGTGGTTTTCATTGTTACTAAAATTACAAATTAATTGATTATAATGAAGATTTTTAGCTCCTTTAATAACACTGGCCAAAATATTACAGTATGTTTTATAATAATATTTCAGATCTGGCTAATACCGTGCTGAATCCCTGGGAAAATAGAAGACTTAATTCCAGTGTGGTCACTGGAAGACATGCACCCTGGTGCAAAACACTTTTTCTTTCTTCCCATTTATAGTGCAAGAAACAATACAAAATTATAACAGAATCACAGCACACTCTCACTTTCTTAAGATTCTACGGTCCTTCTTTAGGCTACACCGAAAGATGTTTAAAATACAGAAATAAGATTTGGATGAAGTATCCTAGTAACACGGACTTCGTGTTTGTTTCTNGGGAAAATAGAAGACTTAATTCCAGTGTGGTCACTGGAAGACATGCACCCTGGTGCAAAACACTTTTTCTTTCTTCCCATTTATAGTGCAAGAAACAATACAAAATTATAACAGAATCACAGCACACTCTCACTTTCTTAAGATTCTACGGTCCTTCTTTAGGCTACACCGAAAGATGTTTAAAATACAGAAATAAGATTTGGATGAAGTATCCTAGTAACACGGACTTCGTGTTTGTTTCTAATTTCACTGGGCGTAGTAAGCATTCATTCATTCATTCATTCATTCATTTGCATTCTGTTAATCCATACAAGGTCAAACCAACCTATGGGATATAGAACCTGTCAAGATACAAATATAATATAAACATAAAATAATGATATATACATACATTCATAATGAGCACAATAAGGACATAAAGTAAAACACGGTATTGCATAACAGCAGTGTCACAAAACACATTTTGATCAAAGACACAAAGCAAAACGCAGTACTGCACAACAGTGTCACAAAACACAGTTTGAACAAATACACAAGATAATAGTGAAGACAATGAAACATGAATGAATTGAACTTACAGTGGGGAGACCTCATAATCCATATACATAAGTAACACACAGATGTAAATTCATGCGTAAATGTCGACTCTCGTTTCATAACATCAAATCAAAGTCCCTACTTACTAATTAATCTAATTCGTTGCACGACATACCTCAATGGCGTACACATATCTTCAGAAACTACGCAGTTTTACCGGGCCAACGCCCAAAATGCCCAAAACCTTCAACGGAAATTTAAGATCCTCTGATTGGCTCACACTTATGCGATTCGATTGAATGCGATAGGTGTATAATGATCGATTACAGTCATTTCCAGACTACCCAGTTCATTTTGATGAACATAGATGGCTGTTCTGCATGTTTTCCTCTCCATTAAGGGAATTTCGCGAGGCTGGTTGCAACCCCCTGGCAGTGATCGCTGTATTGCTGTGATGCCGAGGTTACGAACTCTACACCCAAGTACCACAAATTCTTGCATAGTAGGTACCGGACATTACGTTGTTAATGGAATTTTGTAAGTTGTGGGTATTCTTTAGGGAATCATTAGGCTTATTCGATAGAAACTCAATTTCCTCATATTTTGACAAATTATGGTATTCGTGATATTATTCCGCTGTTGCAAGTTCTAGTTGGATTTCTGCTATACTTCGCATCGCCCGCTCTGTTGTATGTCCTTTCTCGCCAGTTACACATACAAATCCGACTTATAAAGGAAGTCGTGAGAGGTGATGGGCTGTGGTATGTATGCAGGGCATAGAAATACATTTTTGCGGGTCGGCAATGTAAATTTGTAGAGTAGGTTGCTGTTTTTGGGATGTAACTCCGTGCAGTCTGGTACCCTACCGACATTTAGGAAGCAAGAGGTTCACGCAAAATCGGTGAACTGGCTGCCTTCACAATTGAGCAACAATCTGTTAGACTACACACGTAACACACCGAACTTCATAATCTCTGCCGGCCTCTGCTGTGAAAACAAAGCAGTCCACTTCAGGGTGTTTGTTCACAATAATTAGTATGTTTCCTTACAGACGTAGGCAAGTATTCAGAGCTAGGTACTGGTACACTTGTTAGAAATATGATGCTATGTCACTAGGATTCTTGTAAATCAATTAATTTGCCACCCACAAAGCATCATGTGTGATAAAATAAAGTTTCAAGGTTATGAAAGATTCTGCATTCTTTTGCAGCAGAAATTCCGAGAATTCTGCCACAGAGAGCTGAACAAACATTTCCTGCTTTGACAGAAAGGATGGTGAATGTTGTGTGCACAGACAAGAATTTTCATAACTTAAGAAACTAAATTTTTTATGCCACGCTTGTGCTAGTTTTCATAATCAATCTGGAGAGTTTATTTGGTTCATCACATTATAACACTTTGCATTACTATGTGGGAGAGGGATCAGTTCAAGGAGAGTGATATGGGTATGTCATGTGGCGCACACGTGAGAAATGAGAAATGCATACAGAGATTTTGACAGAAGGCCTGAGAGAATGAGACAATTGTGGAGATGGATTTTAAAGGTACAATTAGGGGGGTTTTGGACTGGGTTTGTTTGTGTCGGGATGCAAAGTTATGATGGGCATGTGTGAACACTGAGTGCTTAGGTTCCATAAAGAGCAAATATGTATTGACTGTACTTCCACAGGAACCATAGGTTTCTCAGGAAGGTCCCTGCATTATGAACTTAACACTTCCTAAGATTGTGAAGTCTGTAGAGAAGAAATCTGTACAAAGCAGTTGCTATGGGTCAGATGTAATGAGAAACAGCTACAGCAAGGAGAGCATATATTGTTTCATGTGTGGTATTGTACAGCTATGACTGATAGAAGATGTGATGCCTTTACAGAACTGTACAAATTCAAAGAAGGTTTCAGTGGGTCCATATGGTGAGACATACCCAGCAAGTCATGATGCAAGCCAGGCCATGAATGTAAAAGCTGAGGAAGTCTCAGACTCACAAGAGGAAGCGGATCCTGTGCAAATAAAATTTCAGGAGATAAAGTCTAAACCTGAGGTGAGCTGTATGTTTCTATATGTCCACTGTTAGACAGATATCACAGATAGGCAGGAATTCCAGTTGTCTATCTCATCTCCATCTGTCTGGCTGTCTGTCTGTGCACATAGAACAACTCCACTGTGCTGCTGACTCACCTTTGAAGGCCTTTTTCTGAAGTGTCTGTAGACAGTTGTAGTTTGTTGAATGTATGCTGCTTGTGATGTACCACTTCTGTTTCCTTTTAAGCAGTTCTGATGCAGGTGAAATTAAATTTTGCATAAATGGAACAGTGTTTGAGAGAAATTCTATAGCAGCAGAAATCCTTGGGGAGTCACGGAAATGTTCTCGGTTAGTTACTGGTACACTTATTAGAACCAAGAATTTAAGTTACTTGGACTATTGTAAGCTAATTACAGTGAACCCCGCAAGATATTTATAATGTGATTAACATGTTTCAAGGTTACAAAAGATTCTGCCTTCTCTTGCAACAGGAGTGGCAAGAATTGTACATACATACGTACATACATCAGCGTTTCAGAGTATTCACAAGTGTGCAACTGGCACTGAATATAAAACTTGTCAAACAACAGTCACATGACAATCACAGATAAGATCGCAAAGACATCAAGACCATAGTTTAAATCTAAACTGAATACCTCAATTAAATAGATACAATGTTACACATACAGTTATACCACCAAGATAATTAGCAATACATAATAATTCTCCTTCCTACTCATATATACATATGCATGCAATGAAGAACTATAATCGTCACATATTTAGATATAAATTGCACAGTAATATAATGAAGTATACCTAAATAAGCATATTTCTGACTATAAATGCTTACAGTAAAGCAAAAATTCATCAACTGAATAAAACGAATTATTGATTAATATTTCTTTTAGTTTTCCTAGGAAAAGTTTCCTGTCTTGTTCCAAATCTCTTACATAGAGAAGCAAACTGTTGAAAATTTTAACGCACACATATAATAGACTCCTTTTTGCCTTCTAAATGTGACTGTAATACGTGTAGAATCCCTCTCTGTCTTGTGGTCTTATTATGGATTGCATCATTAAAAATAAAATACTCAAGATTACTTATCATAAAAATCATCAAAGATAATATATTGTAACGTGTCTAGCGTTACTGAATACGCCGTAGAGATCGTTAATTGGTTTATTGAACAATCTACAAATAAGGGCTACAATTAATTATCACAATGTGACGGGTTTCCACAGTTCCAAACCCTACAACAAAATCTCTTGACACTATCTTCCAGAGTCTTCACCTATTAATATCGCGGGAGCTATACAAATCTCCCTGAATTACACACTCCAGATATAACTGGACTACAGCACTCACTAAGTCTCGAAAGCACACAATAAGTCTTCCGCTCGCTGACTTCTTAGTTATCACACACTCGCAGGCTGCTACCTTGAGAACTGTTGATAACACACTGACTGCCGCCTGCTGCTCAGCCGGCTTTTATTCTGTTGGCTGTTGCTAGTTGTGGCGTGGCGTATAGCCTAGCAACGCTGTTACCCCTTGGTGACGTCACCGCTGTTGACTAGCTTTGCATAGCTTCAAGGTTGCGGGGACTCGGCTAACTTCGGCTCCGCTCGTGACGTCACCGCGGGAAGAGTTGCGGGGTGATTACTCGCCTATTACGCGAGCGCTGTGTTACCGCTACGTGCAGCTGGGGAGGTAGGGGTCAACATGTCACACTGCTCCCTCCTTAAGGCTGTTCGTCCCGAATAGCCTAACCGTGCTTCCCCCGTTCCTTTTCTTTGGAGGCTGTTCTTGCAGCATCTTCTTTGTGTCCTTCTACTGTTTCTCTTCTCCCGTGGCTCTGCTCTCCAACAGCCACATCTTCCCCCTTTTTATGGTTGCTCGTCTCGAGCAGCTCCATGATAAGGCGCGAGCCGGTCGAGGTGTACAACCAACATCCTCGACTTAGGGGTCTTCTGGATTCGGTAAACCCCATATCCGGGTC